AAATGATTCTAGTGAAGGTGTGTGGAGTTCAAAAACACTCTGGAGCACTTCCTGTATCACCAAAGTGTGACATGTGAGCGTTTTTAATAGTTTGAGAGAAGAACTCAGCCTAAATAAATGTGCAGGGTTTGTGTGTTAAAGGTTGTATGGAGGATTTTTGTTTGTTTTTTTGTTTCAAATTGTCATTGAAAGTTTAAAATACCATAACAGAGATGCAGCAGCCTTGGAATTATGATGACCAAAAAAAAAAAGAATGAAAATCCATCAACTGTGGACGTGTTGAGGCCAGAGAAACATCAGCCAATAGAAAACGAGGCTGCCTCATTTTCTATTGGCTGTTAGGTTGTCAATCAAACTCCCTACGTTTCTAGTGTAACTGAGTCGTCGGGATGCGGGGATTACGTGGTTTATGCGGCGGTTCTTAGAGGCTTTTCCAAACTGTCGCTTCGTAACAGTTCGCACAAAGTTTGTTGCGACGGCCGACGAGAATCCACGACCGGTTCGCCGCGAAAGAAAGTCCGTTTTTGAGGTCGCTGAAAGAAGAAGGGAAGGGGAAAAGGAGCGAAGACAAACCGAGGTGAGATTGGAGATTCCTTCCAGCGATTGTGCGACTGAAGCAGACGAAGGGGTTGTTCCGGTCCCGGTCTCAGTCCTTCGTCGGTCGCTAAAATATTTCTAGACGGGTCACTTCGAAAGTAATTCTGAACGCGCACCGGCTGTAAACACGCGTGATTTCTAGAGTAAAGAGGCGGGAGGAGGTGTTTCTACTGAGGCTGTGGAGGAGGAAGGTGGCGTCACACATGCACAACATTTGGAAAAAGGACTGTGGCTGTATTTCACTTTCCTTAAAAAAATCCTCTATACAACCTTTAAATTAAAAATGTGTGAATGAAACAAAACAAAAACTCCAGGTCTGTTTACGATGAGGAAATGATCAGAAAACAGCGTAAAATAAACCCTCTAATAAAAGTGACCGGTCGTTTTGAGACACGGTTCGCTTGCGTGATGCGTTGCTCAGGACTTACTCAAATTCAGTTTAATATTTTTGTTTACATTTCGTGACGCTGTACATGTTTAATCTGTTCCTCGGCGTCTTATATAAAGTGTTCTCTCCTGTTCCCGACTTGTTTTGAGCCTCTCCTCTTAAACAGATGGACCGGTGTAATCCTGTGGAGCATCTGTTCGTGTGAAAGCCTCTGTGTGAACGCTCGGCACAGGAGGGGGAGGGGGGAAAGGGTGTATGGAGGTCTATGGTAGAAAAACGCAGTGTATTGTAACAGTAACTATGTATTTAATCGATTTTTTGTTTTAAAAAAAAAGTTTTCTCCCATGTTAAAACGTCGTTCGCTCATCAAAAACACGTCTGAAGAGGTTTTAGAGTCATCCGTGCATGTTTGAGTAATCTAGTGATCTCTCCTGGGCCCTTAGATTGTGTACAAGGCTCCGCCCACAAGCCTACATCCCTGGTTTAGTCCAAATTTGGTCCTAGTTTAGTCCAAATTTAGTTCTAGTTTAGTCCAGTCTTAGTTCAAGTTTAGTCCTAGTTGAGTTCAGGTTTAGTCCTTATTTAGTAGGGTTAGGGTTAGTCCTGGTTTTGTCCTAGTTTAGTCCAGGTTTTATCCTTATTTCATTGTAGTATAGTAGTTCCTGGTTAGTCTTGGTTTAGTCCTAATTTAGTCTAGGTTTAGTCCTTATTTAGTCGTAGTATAGTAGTCCCAGGTTTAGTCCTGCTTTAGTCCAGGCTTACTCCTAGTTTAGTCCAGGTTTAGTCCTTATTTAGTCATCATGTAGTAGTCCCAGGTTTAGCCCTAGTTTAGTCCAGGCTTAGTCCTAGTTTAGTCCAGGTTTAGTCCTTATTTAGTTGTAATATAGTAGTCCAAGATTTAGTTCTGGTTTGGTCCTCGTTTAGTCCAAAGTTAGTCCATATTTAGTTGTAGTCTAGTCCTGCTTCAGTCCTGGTTTAGTTCTTGGTTTAAAGTCCTAGTTTAGTCCCAGGTGTAGTCCTTGGTCTAGTCCCTGGTCCAATCTCTGGTCTAGTCTCAGGTTTAGTCCTGATTTAGTCCTAGTTTAGTCAAACTTTTGCCCTCGTTTAGTTCAAGCCTAGTCCTAGTTGAGTTCAGGCTTTGTCCTTATTTAGTTATAGTATAGTAGTCCCAGGTTTAGTCCAGGTTTAGTCCTTACTTAGTCATTATTTAGTCCTAGTTTAGTCCAGGCTTAGTCCAGGCTTGGTCCTAGTTTATGTATATTAAGGCGTTACGCAAAATCAGTTGTTTTGCTTTGAGTTTGAGCATGTTTGAGTAATTTAGTGATCTCTACTGAGCCCTGTTCAAACCCTATTTATGAGGCTCCGCCCACAAGCTTACATCCATGGTTTAGTCCTACTTTAGTCTTAGTTTAGTCCTGGTTCAGTCCTAGTTTAGAGTCCAGGCTTGGTCCTGGTTGAGTTCAGGTTCAGTCCTTATTTAGGCGCAGTTATGCAGTTAGTAAATGAAGTTAAAATAAAAGGATAATACACTATTAAGTACAATTACAGCAACAAAGCGGAGCATTTATTTGAGCGCAAAGACAAACAGCCTCATTGTGTTCGTCTAAACACAGGCTCCTCTCACGATCCTCTGGTCCGCGGCCAGAGTCTCTGCAGCTTTAACGTGATTATGTCCACAAACATACGTCCACTCTCCTCTCTCCTTCTGTCTCTTCCTTCTCTTTCTCTTCCGTCTCTTTTTTCTCTCTCAGATTTTTTTTTTTTTCATTTTTGTCCCACCTCATTTACCAACACGATATGTTCATTTTCCTCTCCTCGGGGGGTTCCTCTGCCATGAAAAAATAAATTAAATTGAAGAAAACTTGTACAAAATATTACCAAAAGTTTTGTTCTCACTCAGCAAAGGTTATGGCAATTATTTAATGCAAAACGTAAAAAAAAAAATTGTTTGGAGTTAACTTTTTGAACATTTTACCAGGTTATTTATTTGTTTATTTTATTTAATTTTATTTTATGAGTTCTAATTACTTTTTTTTTTTTTTTTTTTTTACAATTTTTAAGTTCAAGTCAAATTTACTCTTGGTTTTCAATTCATGCTCTTGGCGAAATTTTGAGGATTTTTGACACTCAAACTTTGTAAGATTTAGTTTTTAAATTCTTAATCACTACGGTAACAGTCCTAACTTCTCATTAGTTCGAAACTCGTTGACAGATCTTGATTTATTCGGATTAAACCGTCTAGTTTTGAGTTTTTAGCGCCTGTTAGCCACCGTTAGCGTCGCTACTTCCCGCTCAGTTTTATCTCTATGGGGGTTTTGCCGAGTCATGCTAACATGAATAAATATTAAAGATAAACAGTGAACAGGGCGATAAGGGCGGATTTTACTGACAAGCGTGTTAAAAAGTACACAAATACAACGAATACTTGAGCGGAGAATACTTCTGTGTTTATAAAAAGAGATGTTTGTGTCTCAGTGCTAACGCTAATGCTAACGCTAATGCAAATTCTACACATAAAACAATTTGAGCAGTTTTTACTTTGATTAATTTGAATTTTAATCGATGTTTATGTTACGTTTTACTATTTTTAAGATCCTATATGAGCTTTAAGTCGTGTTCTAATGTTGTTACTTCCTCAAAAACATTAAATGAAACAGAAAACGCAAACCAAAGTTCTTGTAGAGGCGCAAATGCGAGCAAAAATGTAAACAAAAAAAGCCTTCATCAGATTATTTTTCTTGTTTTGGACCACAGTAACCTCCTCAAAAACAGACCTGGAGTTTGTTTTGTTTCACACATGTTTGAGTAACACTTTATTATTAGTCTGTCTGCATCTACAAAGCTCAAAATATAAAAAATAGCTCAAAAAATTATAGCAGAGTTAAAGTATTTCCTATCATTCAAAGTAAGGTGACGCACTGATCTGGATTCTTTCCGTTGGTTTGTTTTTAACTTAATAAATCAATAAAAGCAGAGTTTCTTGGGCTACGTTCAGACTGCAGGGCTTAATGCTCAATTTAGATTTATTTTTTTGTGAAATCCGTTCATTTTTTTTGCGAGGTCGTTCACATTTCCGAATTAAATGCGACTTGTAGGTGATCTCCAAGTGTGAACTTTAAACGCCCCGAAAGTGTCAGTGTTTAAGGAAGTCGCCTAAACGTGGAGGCTACCCTTGAGCACCTGGAGATTTTAAAGTTTTGGTATATTTTACTAAATTATTTTGTTACAGAGCTACAGTTTTGTTGCTTGTTTAGAGGAAAGAAACTCGTTCTGACTGCAAAAAGTGAAGTCTAGGTTAGTTAAAATTACTTAAATTAAGAATATTTGACTTTATTTGAGAAGAGTCGATGAATGAAATAACAGTTTTTTTTTTTTATTCAAGCAGCATTCGACAAAAAGTTGTTGTTTTTCCTTTTTTTTAAGTGTAGCAAGTTGTATTTTCATCTTTTAAGTACAAAAAGTCTTGTTTTGCTGATTGATAATTTTACTTGTCAAGTGAAATTTACTCAAATCATGATAAAAACTTTCATCTTAACTTGTCTAGATTTAATTTTTTTGCGGAACATGCGACACATTGGACATTTTCACAGTTTTTGAGGATTAAAATGTTTTTGTTTCGTATGAACTTTGCACAAGAAATAGTTTTGAAAAAGACTTTTAGTGTCACAGCCATGATTTAGACTTTATTTTTTACTGAATCGTAAGCTCATTGAGTCGAGGTATGTTTCGTAGCGGCAACTTTTTAATGATACCGAGCTCTATATCCAAGTGGCCTGGGTCACATTAGAGAAAAATCGCATCTGTGTCGTTCAGACGGTCATTAAAAGATCAGATACAGGTCGCACGGGGGAGAAAAAAATCGGATTTGGGTCACTTCGGGCTGCGGTCTGAGGAAGCTGTTCGGGAAAAGTCCTCTGACCGACTGTGGCGCCGCTGTTTCACTGTTTAATCGCGGTGTGTGTTCAGTGATAGTATTTCCCCGTCTAAGCGTATTTCCTTCTTCTCTGTGGTTCAGGTCCCCACAGACGTGTCCATGGGGCTGCTGGCGGAGCCTCAGGTCGCCATGTTCTGTGGAAAACTCAACATGCACATCAACGTCCAGACGGGGAAATGGGAGAGTGACCCGTCAGGAAGCAAGAGCTGCATCGGGACCAAAGAGGGCATCCTGCACTACTGCCAAGAGGTAAGAATACTACTATTAAAATACTACAATACTACCATAATACTGTGTCAGGCCAAAGAGGGCATCCTGCACTACTGCCAAGAGGTAAGAATACTACTATTAAAATACTACAATACTACCATAATACTGTGTCAAACCAAAGAGGCATCCTGCACTACTGCCAAGAGGTACTATTACTATTACTAAAATACTGCAATACTAACATAATACTGTGTCAGGCCAAAGAGGGCATCCTGCACTACTGCCAAGAGGTAAGAATACTTCTAAAATACTACTGTAGTACTACCAAAATACTACAATACTAGAATAATAATGCATCAGACTAAAGAAGGGATCCTGCACTACTGCCAAGAGGTACTAATACTATTACAATACTGCTATAAAACTACCAGAGTACTACAATACTAGGATATTTCTACATCAGACCAAAGTGGGGATACTGCACTACTGTCTAGAGGTAATACTACTACTATAATAATACAAGTTAAGTACTGCAATGGTAATATAATACTACATCAGACTAAAGAGGGGATCCTGCACTACTGCCAAGAGGTAATACTACTATTATAATACTACTAAAGTACTACAATACTAACATAATACAATATCAGACTAAAGAGGGGATCCTGCACTACTGCCACTATTACAGTACAACTATAACTCTAACAGTACTACAATATTACAACAAGTACTACAATACTAGAATAATACTACATCAGACCAAAGTGGGGATACTGCACTACTGTCTAGAGGTAATACTATTACTACTTCTATAATACAACTTAAGTACTGCAATCGTAACATAATACTACATCAGACTAAAGAGGAGATCCGGCACGCCTGCCAAGAGGTACTATAAAAGTACTACTAAAATACTGCAATACTAGAATAATACTACATCATACCAAAAAGAGGATCCAGCACTACTGCCAAGAGGTACTACTATAGTAATACTAAAGTACTGTAATACTCGCATAATACTGCTCTACTGTCAAGAGGTACAAGTACGACTATAATACTATCAAAGTACTACAGTACTATCATAATACTGACATATTTATCATGTGTCCTCATGTGTTTGTGATTTGATAAAATAAAATAAAACATAAAACAGACTGTGCAGTATCTGGTCCAACTGTGTGTGTGAACTTCACCCTGGAAACGTCTGAGTTCTCCTTGAAAACCTTTTTATCTCAGAACAAGGACTTCAGTGGAATTTCAGAAATGCCAACGCCAAAGTTTACAAGATACTGAAAAAGAGAAAAGAAGAATAAAAAAAGAATATTTTTAATTTAGGTATAAAATCATGAAATCTGAAGATGACAGTAGTAGTAAGAGTAGTCCTGTTTCAGTCCTGTTTCAGTCCTGGTTTAGTTCTTGGTTTAAAGTCCTAGTTTAGTCCCTGGTTTAGTCCCTGGTCTAGTCCCAGGTCTAGTCCATGGTTTAGTCCCTGGTCTAGTCCCTGGTCTAGTCCCAGGTCTAGTTCCTGGTTTAGTTCCTCGTTTAGTCCCTGGTTTAGTCCCAGGTCTAGTCTCTGGTCTAGTCCATGCTTCAGTCCCTGGTTTAGTCCCAGGTCTAGTCTCTGGTCTAGTCCATGCTTCAGTCCCTGGTTTAGTCCCAGGTCTAGTCCCTGCTCTAGCCCTTGGTCTAATCTCCGGTCTAGTCCCTGGTCTAGTCCTTGGTCTAATCTCCGGTCTAGTCCCTGGTCTAGTCCTTGGTCTAATCTCCGGTCTAGTCCCTGGTCTAGTCCTTGGTCTAATCTCCGGTCTAGTCCCTGCTCTAGCCCTTGGTCTAATCTCTGGTCTAGTCCCTGGTCTAGTCCTTGGTCTAATCTCTGGTCTAGTCCCTGGTCTAGTCCTTGGTCTAATCTCTGGTCTAGTCCCTGGTTTAGTCCCTGGTTTAGTCCCAGGTCCAGTTTCTGGTCTAGTCCCTGGTTTAAACCTGCTTCAGTCCTGGTTTAGTCTTGGTTTATAGTCCTAGTTTAGTCCTGGTTTAGTCCTGGTCTAGTTCAGGTCCAGGTTGACTCACTGTCGCCCCCTTGTGTCCTCAGGTTTACCCGGAGCTGCAGATCACAAACGTGGTGGAGGCCAACCAGCCCGTGTCCATCCAGAACTGGTGCAAGAAAGGCCGCAAGCAGTGTCGGTCGCACCTGCACATCGTCGTCCCCTACCGCTGCTTAGGTACGTGCGAAACTATTACACCAGATGCCCTACCGCTCTCCACTGCGCTACTACTGTTACTATTACAACTACTACTGCCTTTCTGTTTGGAGTTTGCTTGTTCTCCCTGTGTCTGGGTATATTTCCTCTTCCATCAACCCAAAACAGACACAATAGTTCAAAATAGTTCAAGACTAGACCAAGACCTGGGGCCTCATTTATTTAAAAAACTGCGCAGGAGTTGTCGTAAGTTAGTGCGTACGCCTAGTAGCCACGAGAAGACTTCCATACGATACCTGGAAATACGTTTTATATAACCACGCATAACTTTCCAACCATAAAAGATAGAAATTTAGATAGTTGCGGCTTTCCAGGCATATTTCCGGCATTATCCTACGTCACACACACCGCATGATGACATCAGGAAAACGAGTGTCCAATAGGAACTTTGTTTTCAGCCAAACTCATTCTCTCCGTCCATTTTGATCGACCCAAACTTTGCCAAAGAGTGTAGTGAGTCAAAATAATCGACTGCTCTGAGCGTCTGTGTTTGTAACAATAGAAAAAAGCCTCTCTAAGTGCAGATATTTCTCAAATAAATGCCAAATTACGTATCTTGGGCTGCGTAATTGTGCATCCCTTGCTATTTTTATTTGAAAAGTTTATTTCAGTCCAAATGTACAAATCCAAATGTAATAAACCCCAGGGAAATGCAGAAGTGATGTGGCTCTGTGCCCTGGACCTGACACGAGCTGATTCCATGACTGACACCAGGAAAGTCATGAGGCCACTGCACTTTTAGTTTTTGTTTTAGAGTTTACTTACACACTTGATATTTTGCACTTTTGTAGCAAAAATTTTTTTTTTATGTCCAAAAAGTTGTTTATACATGTTTACTGTGTGTTTTGTATGAAAGAGTGTAAACTTTATTTTCCGTTTTGTTTGTTTTTTCATTTGTATTTTTGGTCCTGTAGCTTTTATTACAGCCACATGACACGACTACAGCGGCAGATTGTGAAATAACAGTTTGTACTGAAACTAAAACATGTATAACACTTCATTAGGGGGTAAAAGTGGGTAGAAAATAAGAAAAAAAAATCCAGATGAGGACAAATGTACTAAAATTGCCCTTAGTCTGGATGGGTTAAACGCAGGACACGTTTCTCTACAGGGACAACAAAGTGTATCTTACTTTTAAAAACCTTCAAAAAAACCTGTAAATCTAAGAAAATGTTTAAATATCTGTCAACCCTACTGTACATTACATTATAATACAAAGAATTGCAAGTTACATGTGATGCCGGCCAAACACTGTGCGATAATTTCAATCGTTTCACTCAAACTGTACGACCAAATTTAAAAGTTAAACTTCACAGCTCACGATTCATGTTCTCACACTATTAAGCCAAAAGTCGGGCCAAAAACAGACGCACAAGTGAAAAATCTGCTCAAAAAAGGGCCAAAAATCTCACAGTGTACGCCCAGTTTAAGTCTTAAAGCGTTACCACAAAGCTAGAAACTATTTTTGTACAATTCTGGGAGTTTTACAAAGCGTGTTTTTGTTTCAGTGGGGGAGTTTGTGAGTGACGCGCTGCTGGTTCCAGATAAATGCAGGTTCCTCCATCAGGAAAGAATGGACCAGTGTGAGAGCCACCTGCACTGGCACACCGTCGCCAAAGAGGTCAGTAGAGAGCACAGTCCGATCCACAAACAACAAACACAACGTTTACATTTACAAATATTTAAATCAGTGAAATACTATCGGCAAATCATTCTAAACGTTTAAACCTTTGTGTGTTTCAGTCTTGCGGGGACAGAACCATGAACCTCCACGACTACGGGATGCTGCTCCCCTGTGGCATCGACCGCTTCAGGGGCGTGGAGTTCGTCTGCTGCCCGGCCAAAGCAGAAGAAGAAGATCAGAGCTTTGAACAAGAGGCTGACGATGGAGTCGTGTGGTGGGGAGGAGCAGAGACCGACTACTCCGACAACAGGTGGGTTTAGACCGGGTTTAGATCGAGTTTAGACTGGGTTTAGACTGGGTTTAGACTGGGTTTAGACTGGGTTTAGACGGGTTTAGACTGGGTTTAGACTGGGTTTAGACTGGGTTTAGACTGGGTTTAGACTGGGAGTTTAGACTGGGTTTAGATCGGGTTTAGACTGGGTTTAGACTGGGTTTAGAGTTTAGACTGGGTTTAGACTGGGTTTAGACTGGGTTTTTAGATCGAGTTTAGACTGGGTTTAGACTGGGTTTAGACTGGTTTGGTTTAGACTGGGTTTAGACTGGGTTTAGACTGGGTTTAGGCCAGGTTTAGACTGGGTTTAGACTGGGTTTAGACCTAGATCGGGTTTAGACTGGGATTAGACTGGGTTTAGAACTGATATAGAATTGGTTCAGTCCCTGGTTCAGTTTGTTGATTGGTCCCTGGTTTAGACAAAGTTCGAATCTGGTTTAGTTCGAGTTTAATCCTGGTTTAGTCCCTGTCTTAGTTCTCAGTTTAGTTCCTGTTTTAGTCCTGTTTTAGTTCCTGGTTCTGGTTTAGTCCTATATTATACATTTAATTTATATATACATACATACATAGATACATACATAGATAGATAGACAGATATAATATATATATAATTTAACTAACGGTTTTTTCTCTTGTAGCATGGTGCGTGAGCCTGAAC